ATGTTTACTTCAATATTTCCAAATCTGGAACATTCCCTGTGTTATGGAGACTTTGGGAGTTAAAACTAGCGCCAATAATTGTTTAATGGCAAAGTGCAAGACAAAGATTATATGAAATGACAGGTTAAAGTTAAAGAAACTGTCATGCATTACGGAAGCTCGGACAGCTGGAGTGAATACATCCTGTTTCCTGCGAGCTTTGTGCCTAGTCCTAGATTCACCGGGATAACCGAGGCTCTGTGCACAGGCAAACCATCACTGAGATCAGACGGGGTCGGACCCCAGAGAATCAGGCCGATTGGTTTCTTTGTGTCCTTTAGTCATACAAAGGGCGCCAACAACTAAAATGAACATTTGTAGCATCTACGATGCGTTTACATTTCTGCGGGCTTTTTCCTCCGGTTCCTCCACTCTTACTTAACTTCAAGAAGTGTTTAATTTATCATTTATTTTGATTGTTATATGTGTTTTATAAAAGTGGTTTTGTTCCAAGCACGAAGCTTATCATTCTTTTGATTTTGGCTACGCTCATATATTGTTTGGCCTCTTTATAGTATATAGTAGCGTCTTCTTTGCAGGCTGTTTGTTATACTGCTGACTGTGCTGACGCTGGTGATCCATACCCAGCGCGGAGTATTATGCATTGCAAACTGCTCAGCAGCGATGGTTTTATTCTCTGGGTGTTTTTAAGAGGGGAATGCACGAATGGATTTGCCCTCCCCCGATATCCTGAAGTTTAAAGTTTGATCTCAGTTTCGCTTAGATGTTCTGACCTGGTGCAAATATCGAGATGGGATTTTCTACGTAAGTGAAATGAGGAGAATAGCCAGTGCAGATCATTGCCAGGATGCTGTAAACTTGGAAGATAACCATTTGTTAACTTGAGTCTGTTTCGTTTATTGATGTGACCAAGCAGATCAGCACAATGTGAGAAGCATGCTAGTTTGGCCAATAAAAACTTGTCGCAGGTTCCATGGGCTCATCAGAGTACTGACCTGGTTTGTCAAGCAAATTTGCAGCTGGCCTTTAGTATAAAGGGCTGGGGATGTTTTAACATGCCATGCAGGATTATGTCAAAATGTTGCCCTGTGCCAGATTTTACCTTGTGGTGGTCCACATGCTAAAACCTTTGGGGGAAAGGGAGGGTGGGGGCCATGGTTTCTCCTCCACACGCCACAGTTTGCTTAATTTTAGTGCAACTGGCGTCATATCACAATTTGTAATTAGCTGCTCTGGAAGCTTTACTCCTTTTATTTTGAATTTCATGAATAAGGGAAATATTCTGCATAAACCCATGCTTTCACCTTCCACAGCAGGCTGTGTAGAAGTTTGTGTATTTAAAATTGTAGTTTTCTTTGTGTACCCACTGTGAATGTTAAAATGTTTGAAATTTATTGATTTATCTTGATTGTGATTTAAGAGAAAGCCATGTGTCCAAATGCAATTTGTCTATACTTTTCAGTGATCATATGGATTAAACATTTTTGCTAGGGGTACGCTGTCATGGCATCCTACTCCCACCACCCCGGTGATGCAATTTGAGCTGACTTAACCATTTTTGTTGAAAGACTAGTATGCTACAGCATACTATAGTGAAAAAAGTGACAAGAGTGCTGGTGTTGAAAAGCTGACCCATGACAAACTAGGAGCAAGTGGTTGAATAAGGAAAGAAGGGTCTCATTGAACTTTGGTATGCAGATATAATTATTTTTACAACATCCTGCTGCTTCCACATAACCAACTGAAGTTGGTTCATTGAACATAAGTTAAAGGGAGTTTTCCACATTTATGTGGGTTTTGAACTCAAATAGCCATCTTGGAGACCTTTTAATGCTATTCACAATCATGCCCATCTTAAGACCTCAGCTCCTCTAGATTCTGAGCCATACTCTGTGAAGATGAGAAAAGATGTATTGGTGAGAGTATTTCATGGTCACCTTACTCATGACATAATAACATCATTAAAATCCTGTCATTCCATAAACCATGCAGTGATCAAGGCCAAGGAAAATATGATGTTGAGGCATTTGTGCCTGGCATGCATGAGCACAATTTCCAGATACATTGGCCATTAGTTGGCTCTCAGTGTTGTGCAGGGTATGATGATGCATTCACACCATGACACATTGAGGAGAATAGTTACTCATCAGAGCATTGTCCTTTCTAGAGCAGTCTTTTCCATTTAAGAAGCATATCAGTAGTTAGAAGTGAGCTTGCTTCTTCATATCTGATGTTTGTTTCATTATCTTCAAATGTGAAACATTCTCTTTGATTATAATGCACTAGCTATGGCATGGACCGGTCTTTTCCACTTAAAAATGTAACAACTGTTCTAAGTGGGCCTATTTCATCACATCTGATGCTTGATTCAATGTGTTCAAATGTGGAGCATTCCTTTTAAACACATTGGTCTCTAATTCCCCAAATACACCATCTGTTATTTGGCACCTGATCTGCGTCCTGACCTGCACGTGCTGGGCCAGCCTGCAGACGTTCCCGCTCATCGAGGGCCTGACGGGGCCGCAGACGCTGGACGTGCTGCACAAGCGCATCACGGCGCTGGGCGCGCGTATCTCGGGCCAGTTCGTGGTGGACTGCGAGACGTACTTCTCCGCTCCGTCGCTGCGTGAGTCCCGCCGTTGGCCGGCTGGGTGGCGCTATGTGCGCTGTAAGGTCACTGAGCATTGGTCTTCCTCTGTTCCAGTGACTGTCGCTGTATCAAAGTCACTAAACAGTTTGATTTTGCTGGCTGGCTGATTGGGAAAATGGGCTGAGTTTTGTTGTATTTGAAGGCTGCCTTTTACGAAAAGCGATTTATTTTGGAAATGTGCGCATAGAGCGGCGCAGGAAAGGTTACATTAAGTAAAGAATATCGTTCTTAAGTGTGTCACGTTCGAGGCTTCACCCCTGTGTGTGTACTACGTATACGTCCCCGCAATGCCGCAGGGACGACCTGCATTCCTTGCAAATGTCTGTGTTGCCGCTTTTTCCATTTTGAATACCATTGGTGATATCTATCTGTAATTTTTAATTGGTGATGTCTTCACACTTTTTCCGCGTGCATGCACTCTGTATTCGTACACTAAATATTGTTGACCTGCATGCGTTTTGCTGATGGTAGCTGGTAATAATATCCACTGGTCATGCCATAGTGATTTTGTAAGCTGTGTAGCCTGGCTCATGCGGCAGGCCAGCGAGGGCCGTACCACCTGCAAATGATTTTGGAAGCATGGTGTGGCTGTAGTGCATTTTCGGTCATGCAGCGCCATAGACTTACGAATTCACTCACATGATTATTTTGCGACATATCCGTGGTGTCATTGGTGGCTCCATCTATGCAATCCCTGGTGGCGTCATCTATGCACTGTATATGGCAGAACTCTTCTCTTCTATTGCCTCTGGATCTGAATGATCCACAGATCCACAGACATAAAACGAAGCCTAAACTTGGCCAGTCCTGCTGCAAATCATTGTGCAGATTAACACTCCAGCCAACCAACGATCAGCTTCAAAAAAAAGGAACAGTAGATGGCACCTTTGCCTCTGACAACTTGTGAGATGTCCTCATAGGTGTAACTGTCAAAAAATCGGGACATGTTATTTTGCCCCTGCATGAGAACAAGGTTGATGAACACCCCGCTGTGTCTGTTCGTGAATTTTTATTGATGTGCAAAATGTTAAAGAGGATGGACCCACCGAACATCATTTTGTGGCGTCTCGCATAGAACGTTGTGTCTATTGTGCCTACTTCTTGCGGTATGTGCAACCTGCCGTGTTGGCAGCCATTCGCCGTTTGTGTTATACCATCTCCGGAAAGTCAAAGCTCAAGTAGCGTGGATGTGTGCTATGTTAACACCCTTGAATAGAAGCAGCATTCAACGCGCAATTATCCATGCCATCTTGTGGCTCATCGATTCAAGCTACGTATTGCGCTCACGTGCCGAAATCCATTGTAGGATTAAGGCATCGGTAACTTCTCATTGTTAAGCGTGACCACGCGGAGGCAGCGCCACCTACGAGCCGGTTTTTCGCTAGGAAGGAGATAAGATTTGTGGGCCGCACGTACAACAGTATTACGTGAATGTTCTGGTAGACATTGTACGCCTGCTAATGGATACATTGTTTTTGAGAACAACATAGGCCACTGTAACTCTTAAGACATTCTTCGACGCCCTTCCCTTGAAGGTCAACTGTTTGCCGCGTTACTGACGACCCTGATGGTGAGTTTAAGGCCCCGTATCAATAACGTATTACTGCGACTTGTTAATTTCACCTATTGCCAGCTTGAAATACTCCTGTAGATTAGCAATGTTAAAAAATATTTGAAATGTTTGAAAATGAAGATGAATTTCAAACTTCTCAATAATAGACTATAATCAATCGCTGTTGGTCTCGAGGGTCTGTCCACACAGTTTTTAAGTTACTTTTCCGAAACCCCAGCTTCCCTTCATTTAATCCAGCACAAAAAATAATATTTATGGAAGTAGACGATTATTTAGAATCAGATGTCTCCTCTGTTACAACCATCAGCAGCGGGGTCTCAGAGCTGCTGACACCTTTGGCGGTTGACGATGCTGCAATGTCAGCCCAAAACGTGCATTATTCACACGTGAATCACCACGTACACGAGACAGGCGATTGGCCAGCGCGGACGCACACACACACACACGTTAATGAACGAGCGAAGCGGCGAAAATATGCGCAACAAACACCGTTGGTAGAGGTGGGTACGGTACAACATGCGAGCAACGGCGCGAATCGGGGGGACCTTTAGTCATCATGATCATGATGGTAAGTCGTGTTTAGTCATCCATGATTAAGGTTAGGTACGACCACCATCATATATCGCCCCACAAACAAGAGTCCATGACCGATGAAAAAAAGAAGAAAGTGATCAGTTCTAATGTTGGGCAGGTTCGGTTCTTTCCTATTCGTAGCCCCGCTTCCCGTACATTTGTATTCAACCTGGTGGCCCCAGATTCGGGTCGCAGGAGAAGCATGATCTCGATAGGCCCTGTCCCCATTCGACTGGGCGAATGCAAAACTAGCCATGTGACGCAACGTGCGTTCGGTGAAGACCGGGCCGCAGGTCTGGTACACGGCCGCTGCTCGACTCCTGCCCTCTGCCGTGAACAGACAGCTGAGTCGCAGTCAGGAGCGGCGGAGCCCGGAGCTGGCGGCGCGCCGTCTCCGCCGCCGGTGTACCGCTGGGCTGAGCCCGCCTCCCGCACCGGCGGTCAGCCGCGTGCCTCAGTTCTCAGCCGCCACCATCCGTCACAACGGCCCGGTTCCCGAAGTGCGGGCGGCTTGTATTGGATGCCCCCGGCAGGTGTGAAGCGGGGACTGGCGGGTGTTGGCAGCGCCGGAGCAGCGCTCGGGACTCTGCCGGGCCGCTGGTCTGTTGCGGTTGTCTGTGGGCGGATGCGGGACCCATCTCATCCCAGTGGACGGAGCTGGGTGGTGCGGGCGCCGCGGGGTGTCGCTCGGTGTCTAGACATCGAGCTGCCCTGAGCAGACTGCACGGTCACCCACCTGGGTGCAGGCTCAGTGACAGGAGCAGCGAGCAGGCGGGCCTCTCTGCGCCTTGCAGACAACATCTTGACGAATCCACGGGTGTGGTCATGGAAGGAATTAGTTTCACGCAACACCAGCAAATACGCTAAATCAAATGCTCCCGAAAATGCACTTGTGCTCCATGAAAGGGGCGTGGAGATGTGTGTCGCGCTCTGTTTATGCATGCAAAAAAGTGTCCTGTGAAGATTCACGCGTGCCGAGACGTAGTACAAAGTATGATCGTGTGGCGTGGGGCTCGACACGGCCGGTCCGTCCCACGGCGGCCGGTCTGTTCGCCCGGTCCGAGGCGGCGCCGCCGCGCGCCGCCGGTGGCGGCCGATTGATTCTGTGAGCGCGCCAAGTGGCAGAACTGCGGCCGGCGGCGCCAGCGCCGGCCCCTCGGATCTCCGCCCGCGACACGGTCCCGGGCCGCGGCCGCTGGACGGGTTCTGGTCACGCGCCCCCCCCCCCCCCCCACCTCCACCCCGCCCCACTCGCGGCGATCAGGCAGGGGTTGCCGGTGCTGTGGTGGGACCCGAGCGTGTGTACTAGTGGAGACTAGTGGAGACGAATGTGATGCATCGTGCAGCGGATGAGAGCGGAGTTTAGCGCTTGGTTGGCGGACACTTGGCTGTCACAGCCATTAGCGCTGATTGTTGAAAACGATCGTTGGTTTGTTGGCTTGGTTTGTCGGAATGGTTTGAAGGCCTGACTTTGTGCTCGCGATTCCTTAGGTGTGAATGCCTGTGACTAGAGAGACTATGACTAAGATTCCTTAGATTTAAATTCAGGATTCCTTAGATTTAAATTCAGGATTCCTTAGATGTAAATCCCCTGAGTAAATGCCTCATTCGAGCTTGTTGCGCACGGCATCCGCTCCAAACGTACCACTGGAGTTGCGCGGTTTCAATTCGACGAGTAATGCACCTGGGAACATTTTAAGTCGGACAGGACAGCAGTGTGCCGGTGTGCCGTCTAGTCGGAGTCTGCTGTTGGGATGCGGTGCTCCCTGGCGGTCGCCGGGAACCTATCCTGTGGTGGGCAGTGTCCGCGCTGGAGGACAGAACAGCGGTGACGGGGCCCACAGCAGGGACAGCAGGGGCAGCAGTGTGCCGGCGTGCCATCGAGTCTTGAACCTGCTGTCGGGATGCAGTGCTCCCCGGCGGTCGCCGTGAGCCTGTCCTGTTTTGGGCTGTGTCCGCGCTGAAGGACAGGACAGTAGTGTGCCGGTGTGCCGTCGAGTCTGAGTCTGCTGTCGGGATGCAGTGTTCCCCGGCGGTCGCCGTGAGCCTGTCCTGTTTTGGGCTGTGTCCGCGCTGAAGAACAGGACAGTAGTGTGCCGGTGTGCCGTCGAGTCTGAGTCTGCTGTGTGGATGCAGTGTTCCCTGGCGGTCGTCGTGAGCCTGCCCTTTTGTGGGCTATGTCCGCGCTGAAGGACAGGACAGCGGTGACGGGACCCGCAGCAGGGACAGCAGGGACAGCAGTGTGCCGGTGTGCCGTTGAGTCTGAGTTTGCTGTCGGGATGCAGTGTTCCCCGGCGGTCGCCGTGAGCCTGTCCTGTTGTGGGCTGTGTCCGCGCTGAAGGACAGGACAGCAGTGTGTCGGTGTGCCGTCGAGTCTGAGTCCGCTGTTGGGATGCATTGCTCTCCGGCGGCTGCCGTGAGCCTGTCCTGTTGTGGGCTGTGTCCGCGCTGAAGCTCTTCAGGGACCGAGGGATCGGGGAGCTCTTCGTGCCAGGATTTGCTGGCGCTATTTTGTTTATTTTGACGAACCCGAAGGAAAAACAACTGGAACCATTTCTCCAGCTTACAGCTGTCGGTCCAGAAATTAGCGGCTTACTCGAAGGCGGTCTGTTTTGCTCTGTTTTCTTTCCGAGCGTCGCGACACGGCGACAGTTGTAGATGATTTCGTAGAGGTCTTCGTCGTTCTGCGCCTGGCTTGGTCTGGCGGCATCTGATGCGCGTCACGTGCGCTGCTGTCACCAGTTGCGGATTTCGTAGAAATGGACATGGTGACAACGTTGTTGTTGTTGTCGGACATGTTCCAGGGTGCACAAGACTACTGCTATCGTTAATTATTTATGCTCATGTAATCGTATGTGTTATCACGCAGCTGCATATGTTCGATAATGAAGCCACACGTGTGTGCTCACATAATTACGAGATCATAGCTATCATGATGCGATAGGCATAATGATACGTAATCTTATGAAGTCGCGTTAGCTATTGACGTATGACGTATTGTCATGTTACATAGTATTTGTCGTCGATATCGACCTGCGTTCTTGTGGCTTTTTTGCATCGCTGGCCAGGTGGGGTGGGGGTGGGGAGGAGGTCGACCGAGATATGTTCCCCAAGGCGACAAAGCAGGATAACATCTCTCTCTCTCTGCTTGACATTTATGTGTCGATCACAATTTACATTGTGAATTTAGCTCACTCCGAAGATGTGATGCCCGGTCCAGCCTGGCTCTTCCCATAAGCAAGATGTTACAGCTCATGGTAAATTGAGAACATCGTCAATTTCTGGCTTTATGCTATTTTATATTGTATTTTCCGCTAAGCTAACGCTTTCCTAGCCGTTTTAAGTAATGATTGATAGTCAGATGTTTATGCAGTCTAAAAGTTGTTTATGTCATTTAAAATACAACTTTTTATTAAGGTTTGAACTTATTTGAAACTAATTGTACGAATCTTAGACCCCACGAATGGTAATCCAGGGGCGTAACTAGAACAAATAAACAACTTCCCCTGTGATGTCACGAGCATTCGTGCATGGCACCCCCGTTCAGTATGACAGGGTGACAGGGTGCGTGTGACTTACAAAATGTCCCATATTATAAATGCATCTTTCGGACTCGTAAGCATTGCCATACAAAGTATGTAGCCACGCGACCCTGGTTCGTAGTTAACCGATCTCTTGCGCCTGGACTTAGACGATGCACACACTTTGCTCACTTGATCCGCTGCTATCATCCTGTTAGCATTCACGTGTGTCACTTCTGGCCACCGAGACACGTGACAACAGTGGTATGACATTGTCTGGCTTCAAACATATAAGCTGTTTCACAATGACTATAACAGTTTACAAAAATCTATGTATTGCCCGAAGTATTGTGCGTATTGCGGAAGCAATACTGTATATTACCTCCGCACCCCCCCCCCCCTCCTCCGCCACCCCCTTTGAAGTCGTTATCAAGTGCACTGGGGCTTGTAATAAGTTATGTGTGAGTTAAATGAGAAAAACCACAAAGTCTCAATATTATTTTAAACGACTGAGAAACCGCGACCGAAAATTATGAAGGGCTGTGGCCTTTGTTATGGCGTATGGTCAGCGAAAGTGCTCAGAAGTTTGGGGTGATAGGATGTGCTGTGTATCATTTCTCTCCAGCCAGCGCCAGTAGCCAACGCTCAATGTTATACTTTCAGAAAGTTGGGGGCTCACCTCCCGCCCATCGCCCCTCCCCGCTCCGCGCCCCGTCTTTGGCATGCATTGGTCGTGTAACTGCTGGACATGACTTTGAATGTTCCGTATTGGTGGGTTTGTGTTCTTCCTCACGATTGCAGCGGCGCGTCGCTTTGATCTGTTGTGATTTTCCCGCCACACGCGCCAGAACGCACGCACTCGCTCACAACAAGCCTGTTTTCCGCGTGTAACGGTTTCAATCTTTGCAAAGCGGTCGTGCGGTGCGTCATTTTTCACGTGCGCCGTTGACACGTCAGCCGGCGGGGTCCTTCATGCCCCGCCGTCCTGTCGCGCTGTGATGTGGGCTTCAAACGGGCCGCGCGCGCGCGTGCCGGCCTCCCCTCTCCCTGCCCGCCCACCTGCACCACCGGGACAGTCGGCCTTGCATCCCCCGCCCCCTCCCCCTTCCAGTCCACTTCCGTCTGTCCGCACCCGTGCGTCTGCCGCGCCCGTGCTGCCACCGCTGTTCCGCTGAGTCGACTTTGTGTCTCTGTTCCGGCAATTGCGGTGTGGGCGGGGACTAAGAATGGTGAGCTTCCGGTGAAAACCTTGCTGTGGACGAAGTTAGTCATGTTCCGCAAACTGGACAGCTATAGTTGTGTGGTCAATTTGTTCGGTCGTTATTTAAGCAATGACACCTGCAGTACAAAAGACGCTGGTACAGAAGTACGCTGGTACGCAAGTACAGAAGACGCTGGTGTAGGACTTCACGTAGTTAAGTTGTTGGGAGATAACAAAATCATGCTGAGCACGTTGACTTCAGAAGCGCACAGTTGCTTTGGAACGATTTTCGTGATGCTTGGCTTTTTACTGTTATGTGTCTTGTGGTGCTACTGGTAAGGCCGCCAGTCGGGCATGTACGCACCTACTATCAGTCCCTGAGGCCACCATGATCCCGGGCCCGTGTCTTCGCCAGCCTGCCAGCGTTCGCCCTGGGCGTGTTTCGTCGGCGGCTGCCTGCCATCGCCGGCTCCGGCGGGCCACTGACAGCCAGTACTGATGGTGTGGCGGTGACTGTGGAGCGTCTACGCATGACAGTCAGCGTTGTGCCCGGCGGCCCCGCGAGGTCACGGGCAGGCCCAGGCCGGGCTGGCTCCGGCGCGCGGGAGCGGAACTGGAGCGTCGGCTGCCGGCGACCCGTGCCCAAGCAAGAGCTGTAGACCCTGTGCCGAACAGCGCCGGATCCTGGACACTGTCGTTGTTTCTCCATGTAGCGGAAGAGCGCGACATTTGCCTAGGTTTTGTCAAATTAACGGACGATTGTCCATTGCCCCCCCCCCCCCCCCCCACAACAATCCGTCGCCCCTGGCCGGGCGGCCATTGGGCGGGGCTGCGGGAGAATGATGTCTTACTGGTTGATCTACTTCAGAGACTTGGCCTCTTGTTGACCTGCTTTGGAAACACTACTAGACAGAAAGTTGGGGCTGGGGAGAGGCATCATATCATTTGATAAGGTAGGGGTCATCCGCGAGCAATGATCGTTTTAAAGCGATGTGTTGACGCAACTTCCCAGAGAGTATATAGATATAAAAACTGCGCGTCCAAGTGCGTAGCTTTCAGAGCGGTCCGCTGTCTGCAAAACTTCAGCATCGCGCTTGGGCGCGTGCATCATTGCGCAGGCATTGCGCGATGCTGACACTAAGCGCTCGCCGCCCGCGCCCGGAGCTGCACTTCGTTCGCCGGAAGTTATCTGGAGCTTGGGATGAGAAACGGCATGACAGCTTTTTATCCGGAGTTTGTTTGGGCACGGTCGCGACCTATGGTCCGCAAAAACGTACGATGCGAATTGGCTGTTGCAATGGCCTTTTAGAACGCAAAACAGGGACGCCGGGGTGAAGTAAGAGCAAGTGCATCCATCGCGACCCAGTGTCACCCCGAGCAGGATATGTAAACGAACCATTCAGCGCGGTCGGGTACGTTGGGAAACTGCCCGCTAATTCCTGTGAGATCAACACCAGCGTCGTGGGGTCGGTCATATGATATAATCCAGCTTCTTTCGCCAGAGTAGGTATGCGCATATGATATGCTCTTTGCTCTCTGGCATCACTAAAACCACTGAGGAATGCTTGTGGTGTGCTCGCTGACCTTAGCTTCTCATCTCGCTCATCTGATCAGCTTCTCGGCTAACAAACACTTCTGGGTGGAGGTTGGCTGAGCAAGTGCTCCCCGTACTCGGTGGTTAGGGGAACGACGTGTCTTCTGTCAGAGGAGGAATCCTGTCCCCAGTCTGACACTGCCCCTCTTTGTGAGGCTGTTACTCAGCCGAGAAATGCACCTTCTCCCCATGGCGCCTTTCCGCTGGCAAGGACAAGCCGCCAGTTGCCGAGCTGAGACTGGAATGATCGCTTGAGAATGGGCTGGTAAATGGGTCTGGCCATTTCAGCCGCCGAGGTGCTGGGGAGGTTAAAGATTGCGTTCATTGTAGCGAAAACACTGAAAAGGTGCAATTATTTTGGCTTGGCTTTGGCGATGACCGATTTGGCCACCCACCTGCGTGGTGATATGGTCGCTTTTGTCTTGGTTCAGACCCAGCGACTAATGCACTGAAAGGCGTTTGTAAGGCTACACAGGCCGTTTCCGGGTCGGTTGTTTACGTTGCTGTAGACGGGACAATTTAGCGTTGATTGATGGATTGTAGACGATGCATTCGTGCGTTCTCAAACGCTGTGGTTTCTGACACCTGATGGTGATACGCAAAAAACGTCCGAAAAGGCTGAGCGGCCGGCTCCTGCCGTTCAACTTAAAATTTCCCCGCGGCGTAGGAGAAAGTCACTTAGCTCAGGACCTCTTAAGATGCTTCTGATCAGTGATTATGTCAACGGGCCCTGAGCGTCCCAGGTCCCAAATCCACATGTGAGTCGCAGCCGTCCCTCGCATCTGCCGTGAGAAAGGCTACGCTATTCCAATTCCGCAACGCTGTTTTGCGTCGCTGCGGGGTGTTGGCGCCGCTAGCGTGGCACGTTTGCGCCGTCCGTGAAGTGTCCGGTGAACCCAGCGGATGACACCGCAATTGTCCTTGCTACGCGTCGCACATGCCACTCAAACAGTACACTGATACGTGTGACAGTCGACCTATGCCGTGTCGTGGGCCACGACAACCATGTCTGGACACGTGCTGAACCGACCGCAGTTACCTAGGCGACCGCACCCGGTGGCGTGCGCTACCTGTCGCGCTGACACCGACACTCTCCACAGTGCCGGGGAACTCGCAGCGGATCCTGAACGTGCTGCACAACACGGAGGAGCCGGCCAGCGTGTTCGCCATCCTGGAGGGAGGCGCCAAGCAGCCGGTGCTGGTGGCCGACACGCTGCTGGACGCGCTGCTGCCCAAGGTGGCGCTCCTGTACACGTCCAACAAGAAGCAGACGCGCATCGAGTCCAAGGGCAACCGCTACGAGATGGGCGACTTCGTGGTCAAGCTCGGCAGTGTGACCATGTCCGGCAGCTTCAAGGGCATTCTAGTGGAGGTGCGAATGACCGGAGGTTGTCAGGGCCAGCAGTCGTGAGCTCCAACCGCAGTGTCTGTGTAGAAGCATCCCGCTGGGGACTAAGCGTGTCATGGGACCGTTACACGAGTGTAAATTGTTGATGGGATGAGGATGGTGCGTCTTCTGACTCAGTGGCTGCGTGCGTAAGCAGCGGCTACGACGACTTTGAATCATCAATGCTATATCGTGTTTTGAAAGAACCTAACACGGTACAAGATTTACATGGGCTGGAAGACCTTGAATTAATGGTAAAGCTAGGTCGCGGTGGTGGTTTTAGTGTATGGGCTCTTGATGTGATAGTACGTAGGACCTATATATGACCAGTAAAGGATCACGATATTCTCGTGGAGATATCCCTAAGACTTGGGGCGGTGGGAGAAGGAGGGCTGACGCGGGACGGGGCGCCATTTCCCACGCCTGTGCTGCACTTAGAGGACGATTTCCTTGCCTCCATTAGCGACGACGCTTGTGTCGTGTTTACGCTATGTGTGCATGCGTGGACAATTCCGCCTCCGTCCTCTGTCTCAGGCATCTCCCTTTTCCCTTTCTTTTACACACTCCCCTCTCGCCACCCCTCCGTTGACTGCGTACTTAATTCGTGTTCTCTACTCTCTCTCTCTCTCCTTCATATCTTTCCCTCCCTCCTTCCCTCTCCGATTTTCTCCCTCCTTCCCTCCCTTTCTCTCCCCCCCCCCCCCATTCCCTCCCTCTCCCTCCCATTTATTCCCTCCTTCCCTCCCTCTCCTTCCCATTTCCTCCTTCCTTCATTGCCTCATTTCCTCTCTCCCTCTCCCTCCCCCCCTCCCTCCCTCCCTCCCTCCTCTGTTGACACGGAAGCCTCGCCCGGACGCCGCTCCGCTGTGTGGGTGGGCCTCTCTCTCTCCGTGATGGAGCGCCGCCGCCCGACGACCCCGTCCTCCAGGCCAGGGGCGTCACCGCCGGCTGAGTTATCCCCGGCCACCCGCCTCCAGGGCCGCCGCGGCGCGCCGCCAGGCCGGCTGACACGGACGCGGAGATCAGATGGGAGCGCTGGTCTTAATTGGGGAATGCTTCGCTCGCACTCACTGGCTTAGATCCCGCAGCCACGCCAAGACTCACTGTTGGGAAAACCTCGCTGAGAGCTGGGCCGTTTCAAGTAGTATGAATGGAGCGTTCTTTAAGGTTCGTGGTCTGTGTGGGGTTGCAGTGCTGCGGCGCCCACGTGGCACGCTCGTCCCCGGCATCACGTGCGACCTGCGTGTGGACTGTCGTGCAGATGCGGACCCGTCGCGCTGTACCCCCTCCCCCCTGTCCTCAGGTGTCGTATCTGGCCTGCGTGGTCCCCGCGCTCTGCTGGGAGATGGTCTGGGAGTTCATGCAGTCCTTCCTGGGCAGCACGGTGCCCTCCACCCTGCCGCCGTACATCCAGGTGAGCGCACCTCCACACCGGTCGCTGTCGCCAGTCTCGGCTCCGGGCTCAGCGCGGGACCTGCGCGGCTGTTGTTCGGTCTGGATGGTGTTGGTGATGGCTGTTGGGGTCAGCCAGTCGGTGCCCGCATCTGTCCGTCAATGGTGGCACACGCCGGCCAGGAGCGACGTCCGCCGGTAAGGGGCGGTGGTCCTCCAGCCAGGAACGATATCCGTCAGTCAGGAGCGTTATCCGCCTACATCTACTGGTCAGGAGCGATATCCGCCGGCAAGGAGCGACATCCGCCGGCAAGGAGCGACATCCGCCGGTCGGGAGCGACGTCCGCCGGTAAGGGGCGGTGGTCGCCGGTCAGGGGCGGGTGGTCGCCGGTTAGGGCCGGTGGTCGCCGGTTAGGGCCGGTGGTCGCCGGTTAGGGCCGGTGGTCGCCGGTTAGGGCCGGTGGTCGCCGGTCCAGGGCCGGTGGTCGCCGGTTAGGGCGGTGGTCGCCGGTCAAGGGCCTGGTGGGTCGCCGGTAAGGGCCGGTGGTCGCCGGTCAGGGCCCGGTGGGTCGCCGGTTAGGGCCGGTGGTCGCCGGTCAGGGCCGGTGGTCGCCGGTTAGGGCCGGTGGTCGCCGGTCAGGGCCGGTGGTCGCCAGTTAGGGCCGGTGGTCGCCGGTCAGGGCTGGTGGTCGCCGGTAAGGGCCGGTGGTCGCCGGTAAGGGCCGGTGGTCGCCGGTCAGGGCCGGTGGTCGCCGGTTAGGGCCGGTGGTCGCCGGTCAGGGCCGGTGGTCGCCGGTTAGGGCCGGTGGTCGCCGGTCAGGGCCGGTGGTCGGCCAGTTAGGGCCGGTGGTCGCCGGTCAGGGCCGGTGACTGCTGGCCAGCCCGGCCCCGGACGACGTGCGCCAGCCGCCGGCTGCGTGTGAGACGGCTGCAGTTTCAGGCCGTTCAGACGGTGGGCTCGGGCTGCGATCCGTTGCGCGGACTGTGCCGCTGGGAAGCTGCTCAGCCCAGCTTGTACAGAGGCCGTGGTTACACGCCACCCGGGTGCACCATTATGGCACGTGTTTTCCGTCGCGCCGGCTCCTGGCGCGCGTTACACCGCCCGCGAGCGCGCGGTGCCGCGAGCGCGCGGCGGGCAGTTGAGGCGCCGGCGGCGGCACTCGCAGGCGTGCTGCGTTACAACCGCGTCGCTGTCCGGTCCGAGGGTCGCGGCACGTGTCTCGCCGCCACCGCGCCTCGGCTGGCCGTCGGACGGTGCCGCAGCGGCTGCGGGAGCGGGCCGACGCTAATTGATCAGCGCCCCGATGGAAGCCGGTCCCGGGACGTCGACGCGGCACCGGCCGTGACTAATGAGACAGGCGGCCGCGCTCGCGCCAGCCCGAGTCAGGCCTGGACAGGCTGAGTAAGCTCACAGCTCCGGTTCAGACAGGCTGAGTGAGCTCGCAGCTCCGACCCAGACAGACTATGTGAGCTATGACTCGTCCTTGGCCGGCGTAATAAGTGTCGGCGTCCTCCAACGCCGTCATGGGTGGGCTGAAGAGGGTCTGGTTCTACCTCATCGGCGGCCTCTTCCAGGCTTGGCACAGACACACTGGAAGGGCTCCGGCCATTTTAAGGTTACTCGTTTCTGTCCCGGTTCTTTCAGTCCCGATCATGTCTGGGGGTGGCGTTACTGCTCCTGTCCTCTCCACACCAGACTATCGGGCCAGAGAGAGCCGGGGGCGGCAGACCGCGTGACAGCGGGTCGGCAGAGCTGCCCATCGGCCTCTTCCCCGGCGGACCCCGGCCTGTGAGAGCCACCGAGACGCCTCCGCCTTCCGGCGCGCCAGGACCCGGCTCAGGCGCACGCTCAGCCTGTAGGCGCCGCTAAGCGGGCGCTCCTCTCCGTGAGCCGTTTCCCTTCAGACTCGGCCGACGGCCGCGCGTTCGCCGGCGCTCGGATCAGGGTCCGGGCCGGAAACTCTAGTGCCAGCTCAGACAAATGCGTCCGACGGCCGCGCATTCGCCGACGCTGGGATCAGGGTCCGGGTCGGGAACTCTGGTGCCAGCTCAGACGAATGCGTCCGACGCCGGCCGGGCGCACGGCGCCGCACGTGCCGTGCCGTGCGCCAAGGCCGCGGCGTGCCGCACGACTGGACGGCTGCACGAGCGCGCGGTGGTGAGCGTGGCGCGACCCGGAATGCCGCCGCCGCCGCCGCCGGCGCAGCTGGACTGTTGAGATGAGCGGTGCCGGGCGGGCCGGCGGCGGCGACCTTGCCCGCCCCCTCCCCCGACGTCGCGTGAGGAGGGCGGGTCGCCGGCGCGTCAGAGGCTCGCCGACGGGTCGCCGCTGCCGCGGCGGCGGCCCGCTTCAGCTGATTATTTACGGCTGTTTGTTTTCGGCAGGCGCCGCCACTATTTCGGATGACCGCTCACCTCGACATTCTGGCGGCGCGCGCGGCGGCCTTCGCTCCGTCGGGGGACCGGCGGAAGGGTCGCGCCGGGGTGCCAATTTGGGCGGGACGCTTTTTTAGAAATGCCAGAATGGTGGGATTCCTGCCGTTCTCGGACATGAAAAAGAGGTCGGATGGCATGGGCTGTCGCCTTGAAGCCTTCTTTGCTTCTTGTAATGCTCGCTCTTGGATAACGTGTCTTGTAAGCTGTATTGTTAGACAAATAAAGGCGTTCATTGCGTCGCCCGGAAGTCAAGCTAGGGCTTAGCACATGGAGACATTAGCGTATTCTGCTGTTTCCGGTGGCGCTGGCTTTGTGCGGACATGTCGGCGTGGAAGCTGATGAGCCACGCTTTTTTGTAAACTTCCAACCCAACTCCTGCCCTTGCGTGGCCTTGGCTTTGGGTGCCATTTGACTATTGTAGTCGGCGCGCCCTAAAGTCTAAATTCCCCTCTACTGAGCGTCGCGATCCTTCGGCGATCGGAGTCACCGGGTGTTTTGTGCCCCTCGGGCGATAATTCCCACCGACGTTATCAGTCGTTACCGGCTTACACATTGCTGGCACACTCAACCAACTGCGTCGGTCTGGTTCGCATGTTTGTCGAACAACCGCAAATGCATTGGCGTCGCTCTGTGGTCAGGTTTGGTGCTGAGGCGCGGGGGACTTTGGCTGCGGTCGGGACCAGCTGGGGACAGCCTCTGCTGAACCTGACTGATTCTGGTGTCGATGGATTGGGAACATCAGCGTCGGACGATTGCTCTAAGCTGTTTATGAATCTGTCTCGATCGTGGGTCCTTGTTTATGGTACTGAGAACGCTGTACGATCGATGCGCGATTTCTGTTGTTTGTTTTGCTGGATCTGGAGCCGCGGCGTTAAAGCCGACAGCCACGGGCGCGAAGCAACAAGATAAGAATCGTCCGCCCTGTGTCCTCAGAACCGCCAGAACTCCGTCTTCAGTCCCACGGACACCATCCAGATGTACCTGGAGAAGTTCAACGAGTTCCGGAAGCTGACGGTGGCCCGGTGATGGCCGGCTTGCCGCCGTGGCGGCGCTTCAAAGCCGGCGCCGCCGACACTGGTGCGGTGGTGACGCAGTGACACGATGGTGATCCGTGACTGGTGCCACGCCGGTGCCAAGACTGGTGCCGCGTCGGTGCCAAGACTAGTGACTCGCTGTGAGGCAAGCCGCGACCCGCGCCTCCGCGGCGGCGCCGTGCCGGGGGGGCCGGCCGCCGGCGGCCGGGCGCTCGGGACGCTCCATGGACACGTCGCCGTAATCGGCCATTGTCGGCTGCAGCAGCGCGCCGGCGCGGCGCCGCCTTAACCCGCGCGACGCTGCGACGCGCGCGACCGCCGAGCGAGGCCGACAGCCGGGGCGGGGACGGCGCCGCGGCGGCCGGGTCCTTCGGGTGGCTGTCAGCGCGTGCGGGCGTCACCCCCGCGGCGGCGGCGGCGGCGGCGGCGGCGGCTGGGTCCTTCGGGTGGCTGTCAGCGCGTGCGGGCGTCACCCCCGCGGCGGCGGCGGCGGCGGCGGCGGCGGCGGCGGCGGCGGCGGCGGCGGCGGCGGCGGGCGGCGCGGCGGCGGCGGCGCGTGCGGGCGTCACCCCACGGCGGCGGCGCGGCGGCGGCGGCGCGGCTTGTCATGCGGCTCACGCAGCAGTCGCGGCGCCCGGGCCGCAGCCGCCGTCCAGGCATCACCCGGCGCTATTCACAGCGAGAGTGCGGCGCGTGAACTCTGCGCCGCGGTCGTTCATCTGGTTTGTTCGTGAGGGTCGGTGGCTTTGACGCCGTCAGCCCTGAATACAGCTCGTTTTACACGGCTCGGCGAGTTTAACATCGCTATTCAACGGCGTTGCTGGGGGCGTCATACGAAACGTGTAGCTTCGAATGCCGAAACGTTGCACGTAATGGCCGGCAACTGAGCACGAGCCCTGCTGTGTCCGACAGGGGATGCCTTATGGCATCAGTCAGCGGTATGCGGCCGGGAATGCACTGCTCACCACAAGCCGGTGTGAGGAAATGACCCTGCAAATCAGCAGGCCAGATCTCCAGCCCCGCTGCGGTATGTGCGAGCCTGCCGGGCCGCCTGCAGTCTGGGCCGGCGTCTCCCGGCGTCCGCCCCGCCCGCCCGGCGCCGAGTTCAGCCACCTCCCCTCGATCAATCGGTCATCGGATGGGCTGAGCCGCGCGCGGCAGGTGGCTGCTCGCTCGGCTCGTGCACACATCATCATCCGATTAACCCTATTCGCCGCAGTGCAAATAAACACAGCCGCTCTCCGGCCGGCGCGGCCGGCCCGCGCGCTTCAAACGAGCGGCCGGCGCGCTGGGGGAACAGGTGCCGACCTTACCCGCGCCGGGCGCCGCGCCGCCTCGCCGCCGCCCGGCACCGCGGACGCTTTGTACGCCGGCACAACCCTTGACCCAGTGGCGGCGGTGACGCGCGGCACCAGCAGCTGCCGCCGGTGTTTGTCTTGGCTGTGCGGCGCGCGTGCCGTCGTTTGTCCACGGCGCGCTGTTCTGAATCAGTGTCCGCCGACCGGCCGGGAATAGGCGGCGACGGTAGGGCGGGGTGGACGCCGCCGACGCGCGGAGACATTCTCGGCACGGGTCTGACGGGCGGGAACTCTGACGGGACACGCCCACTGACCTATGCCATGGACGAGATACGCCCTCTGACTGTTTGTCACGGATGAGATACGCCCATTGATGATCTGTCATGGAAGAGATACGCCCACTGACTATCTGTCATGACTTAGATACACCCACTGACTATCTGTCACGGACGAGATGCGCCCACTGACTTTATGTCACGGACGAGACATGCCCACTGACTGTATGTCACGGACGAGATGCACCCACTGAAATACCATAGGCGGGATGCGTCCACTGACAATCTGTTAGGGACGGGGAATACCTGCTGACGATCTGTTAGGGACGGGAAATGCCCACTGACGATCTGTGAAAGGGAGTGTTCCCCATTTGTATGGCGAAATAGCTATCTTAAAGACCTTTCGGTGCAGTTCACAGCCCTGTCCTTTTAAAGGCTTAAGTCCCTCCAGTTTTTGGGCTGCATGCCCGCGAAAGTGGGGGGATCATTTCAAAGTCACCTTGGTATTCAGGACGTCAATAACGTCATTCATATATGTCATTCCATAAGCCATGCGGCTGTCAAGGCCGAGAAAAGTATGATGGTCGAGTCGATCATATCTGGCGTTTGTGAGCGCGATTTCACGGTTTAAAGGCCATCAGTTGGCTCTCAATCAATGTTGTGCAAGATGCGATGACGTAATCAAACAATGACGTATTGAGGGACACATTTACCGAACAGGGAATTGTGCTGTCTCGAGTAGTCTTTTTTCACTTAAAAGTAAACCAATAGTTATAAGTGAGCCTCTTTCTTCATGTCTGATGTTTGGTTCATGCCTTCAGATGTGGAACATTTCCCTTAAGGACGGGACACGTCCACTGACGATCCATTAGAGACGGGACATGCCCACTGACGGCCTGTTAGGAACGGGACACGCACACTGGCGATCTGTTAGGGATGGAACACGCCCACTGACGATCTGTTAGGGATGGGACACGCCCACTGACGATATGTTGGGAACGGGACACGCACACTGGCGATCTGTTAGGATGGGACTCGCCCACTGATGATATGTTAGGGGTGGGGCGCGCCCACCAAAGATTTGTTGAGAACGGGACACGCCCACTGACGATCTGTTGGGAACGGGACACGCACACTGGCGATCTGTTAGGGATGGAACACGCCCACTGATGATATGTTAGGGATGGGGCACGCCCACTAGAAATTTGTTGATAATGGGACACGCCCATGGACGATTTATCAGAGGCCTCACATACCCACTGGGATGTGTCCCTGGATTTTTAGTTTTAGTGTTTTTTAGCGTATTTGGGAGCCATCTGTGCCTCGCACTGGGTGCCGAAACGCACATTGGAGCGAGGGAGTAAGACCCCCTAAAGACACTAAGCACTGCCATGCGTTTGACGGTCTCCTTCGTGTCGTCAGAGGCTGTGCTCACCGCCGCGCGCCGCCGGTGTTCGGCCGCTGAGACGGACGCCAGTCAGAGCCTGTCTAGACCTGTCACGACGCGGGCCGCGGCGGTCCTGTGTCGGCCGTGTTTGTTTGGCCAGGTCCGGTGGTGGACGGCCGGGCGCCCGCCGGATGGCCGGCGCAGGTGCTCAGACTGGGCCCAGAGCTCTGCCCCGCCCCAAACCCTCAACATCCCTCCCACCCCGCCGTCGGCACAGGCCGTTGCTTAGCGCCTGTCGGCGGTGCTCACCGGTTTGCTGCATCCTGGCGATCATGACGCCGTGGCCTGGAGGGAGCGTTGGCGTGCGGAATGTCAGCACGCTCCATTAGATTAACGGGCTGATACCATCCGGTGCAAGATGAAGATCAGGGAAGTTGCATGCCAGGCCGTCTCGTCGTCGAAGCCAGAGCGAAAGGACGCAGCAGAGGAGCATGACACGCGCCCCAGAGCCGACATAACGTGGGACAACACTCGATGCCGCTCTGCTGAAGGCCGCCTCTCAGCACCCCTCATCTCCGACCCACAGCCGGCCGTAGCTCAGGCCGCTTCATATAGCTGCTCCCATCTGCTGTCGGCGCCACCTGGCGAAAGGTCGTGTGCCGGCGCCCTGACGAGCTGGACAAGGGTCGGCTGGCGCCGCGGTCGTGTGTGGCCCCCCGCGTCGCCGTGGGCGGCGCCGAGCACGTGCTGAGTCGTGCGCAGGTCAGCCGGACGGCCTGGCGGGCGGCGGGCCGACACAGTGTGCGGCAGACTGTCCGCTTGCAGGGCGACACTTCGCTTGCGTCCGGCTCGGGGCCGACACCGCGGCGCCAGTCCGTGGGATGGCTCAATCTAAACAGTGGCAGTGCCGGCGGCGGGCTGTCGCTCCGCCGGTTTGGCCGTGTCGGAACGGCGTCCCTGCCATCACGCGCGAACGTGACGCAGCGGGTCGTAAAATCAGCCACCGCCTCCACGGCAACCCATGGCTGCGCCGCCTGAATGCATTCTTCGTTGGCAAAAACGGCGCAGCCCCGTTCGTTGGGTCGCCCGTCTGACAGAGGGCAGACGCCGCGCTCGGCCCTCCCGAGATGGTATCGGCCATTTGGTAGTGCTATTGGGTTTTTACCGGCGCTAATGTTGCGTTTTTATGAACGCCGTGCCGGCTGTTTTGATGAGATGGGGTGACTAATGTCAAATTTATTGAAAGTAAAGGGGCTGGCAGCGGCGTATTTCAGTTGCGCCTTTCGTTGAGGCCGTAAGTGTTTACACAAGCTGGTCACGGCGGTAGCAGGTGTATGCATAAACGTAGCCTATAGCACCTAATATTTACTTTTGTGTATCCTCTTGGGCGCTCTTGCGGGAGCTTCGCATGTTCTGACGAGTGTGCTGCCCATTCATGACACGCAATGGGGCACCCAATATGTGGCAGACAATTGGGGCTACCCGACACTCTCCTCCCTTCAGCCTGGAGGACACTACTTCCACGCTGGGTCTGTACTCTTTCGCGCTTGGCAGGGAGAAGCCCAGACCCAGCTTCGTAATCCCCCCCCCCCAAGAACGCAATTCCAGCCTGCTGAGAATAAGGGATCCTGCAGCCGAGAACCCCTTGCCAAAGGCCTGACCGCCTCTCCCCCATCCCTTGAAAAATCCTGCACGCGCCGTATTACGCACAACTATATTTCACTTCCTATTCGTACGTCTCGCGTGTTTGCGTCACTACCTTCCTTGTGTTGTCCGTGCGGCACGTTTTTGTCGAGGCTAGTTCCATGGTCGTGCATGAGCATTCGGAACATGCATCGATTCTTGGTTTTGCCGCCCTTACGCAAGTCGCAAGTACCGTGAGTGCCACGTCACGTGTTTTTCAGCTGAAAGACAAGATTATTGCAGTGGTGTATCAAATTTAGATGCATTCAGATGTATCCATTAAGTATGGATTTGCTTTGGATGCAACGCACGATTGGAGGGGCGAAACAACCCATTCCATTTATTGCGGAAACACCAGTATGCCCTAGAAGTCTGTGAACCTACCGCTCCATAATTAACCCGACCATGTCTGAGAATTCCCTCCGTTCGTTCTGCTCCACCATGTTGTTCCTCGGCTTCGTTGGCAGCCCATTTTGCATCGCCGACAGCTCAGACA